CAACAAGTCTTTTGACTGTCCTTTTCAAGCCCTCTATATAACCCTATCCTTTCTACACTGAATAGCCAAACTTCTAGCCCACTGCTCCCAGAAATACACCCTTCCATCCAACTCTGCACCTTCCCTCCTATAGGTCTTCTCATTTTTCTTGCCCAGAATGCCTTCCCCATAGTCAAGTCTTCTTGCCAGCTCTGGTGGCACCTCCTTTAGGATATTCCAATTACTGCAGCCTACGGTCATTTCTAACTCCCCTGAATTCCCTTGGTTCTCCTGGTCTGGCCAAATAACTAAATTTCTGTTGTTTATCGCAAAAGGTAATCCACTCAAATGATCCCAAAATCAGAGGTTTATAAAAAGATACATATTGAGAAGTCTCACTCCCACCACTGTCACTCCTACCTTTGTCCCCATCTACCCATTCCCTACAGGCAACCACATTCATTAGTTTATTGTGTAGACTTGCCAAACAACTACAAGTAAATATGATAGATCAGCTATTAATTACTTACTGTCTGATATTGTTCACAATTTTTCTGGTCTCCCCAAATAAATTGTCAGCATCCTGATGACAGAAGCCATATTTCATGCTTAATGTTAGTTTCTTGACTATACCAAGCCTCCTTTATCTTTGTGTCCTTACTCTGGAATACTTCCCTCCACCCTCCAGCCCTATCCCCTTGGCTTGGATCACTCCTGCTAAATTCCTCACATCGTAGCTTGAATACTAAGCCCCTCTCACATTTTCTCATAGTATTAAATACTTCTCTAGCATAAAGCACATCATGTTTATTTGTAAGTACTTGTTTAATTGTCTATCTTCTCCTATTAGAATGCAAGCTCCATAAAATCAATGATAATTTTTATCGATCTCTATAGTTCTAGTGCCTGGCACAGAGTAGATGAGCAATAAACATGTTGATAAAAGGATAAACAAATAGATGGTTGCTAAGTATCTACATATATGAAAAAACATTGAGAGGTAAACCTAAAAGAGGTGAATAACTTCATGGTATGCAAATAATATCTCAATAGAGCTTTTTTTTTTTTCCCAATAAAAAGAATGAATCACATGATGAAGAGCACGTAGAAGGTACTCCATAATAAGTATCTATTATTTAACTGGATTTGGGGTAAGAGCTGCAGACTACTAAGTAAGACCAGCTATATTGTCCCCAACTGTCCATGGGGTATTCTTACTGAAGGAGATCACAACAGCCCCAGCCTCCACTTCTTCTCCCATGTAGTATAAAGTGACAAGGATCAAGGGTTACAATGGAGTGGGTAACAAATTCCTCTTGGGTGAACAGGTTATGCCTGTGATCCATTGGATCATTGGGCCATCAATGTGACTCTTATGCTGAAAAGTTTTTAGACAAATAAATGAGAAGATCAAGACTCTATCGACCCAGTCTGTACCTGACCTGTTCTGTAACTTACTTCAGCACACTAATTTGGTCCTGGAGGTCAGTGGGTTTGAGGTGGCCCCTTCTTCTCATGTGATTACAATCAGCAGCTGAACTAAAATACACATGTTGGACCTTTCGGGTAGATTTGGACAAGGTGAAAGCATTTGATGTCATAGCCTAAGTTTTTAAGATGCCAAAATCCATATTCTATTTTAGCATCTAGAGGTTCCAAGGAGTCTCTTGACTTATCTTCCTACCATGTTGGCCTGATCTAATGTGTGAGCTTTTCAGAATCAAGAAAGTCAATTATAGACTGCAAATGGAAGCAAATCACACTGAGAGGAGAGGACTTCCCAAAACATTCCCAGTCATTTTTCCCTTTCTTGCTGGTGGTAAGACTGAGGGGTGGGGTCACTTTGGGAATGCACCCCAAGTTTGAGCCAAGATAATCCCCAAACTAAAGGCTTCAAAGTAAAGAAATAGTACCCGTAACACCAGTACTCCCATGTGAGCAACAGCCAGGTGGATCTGCATCCCTTCACCATCACTGGCGGGGTGGGGCCTGATGCCATACATGTCCAGCTTCCTTGCTATGTCCAGTAGGAGAATGTCAGATTCAGCTGGGCTCCTACCGCTGCAAGGGGAAAGCATTTATGAGCCTAAGAAATGCAACAATAATGACACCTCTATCCTGAGAGCTCCATGAAGGGCTCGGCATTTTCTGGAACCTCAAGCTTCTCAAACTTAAAGGCTTGGCTTGAACAGTGTGCCCTCAGCTTTAGTATTTTCTAGAATTCTTACCTTCCATGTGGGAGATCCGGGTTCGGTTCTTGGCCAATGAACCTCATATGTAGCCACTACCTTTTTGTCTGTGTTTTTGTGTTGTTATGATGCTGAACAAAGCTTCATCGGAGCTTCCAGACAAACATGGACTAGAAACAAGGCCTGGCTTCCTAGTCCCCAAAACCAGCCAATGAAAACTCTATGTATCACAATGGTCCAATTCACAAGTGACCATGGGGGTGGCACAGGACCGAGCAGCACTTTGTTTCATTTTGCATGGGGTTGCCATGAGTTAGGGGTCAACTTGATGGCAGCTAGCAATAAATGGTGGAATCAGTTATTGATTAAAGTGCTTACATGTAGCTTCAAAAGACTTCTCCAAAAGAGTAAAATAGAACCTACAGATTAGGAAAAAATTTTCGGCAATGATGTATCTGACAAGGGACTTAACTCTAAAATTTCTAGATAACTCCAACACCTCAACAATAAAAAGATTAACAATCCAATTAAAAAATGGGCTGAAGACATGAATAAATACTTCACCAAAAAGGATACTCAGGCAGCCAGCAAATACATGAAGAAATGCTCATGATTATTAGCCATCAGAGAAATGCAAATCAAAACAAGAATGAGATACCATCTTGCCCCAGCACTAGTAGCAAAATTCAACAAGACAGAAAATAACAAATGCTGACGAGGTTGTGGAGAGATTGGGACTCTCATGCACTGCTGGTGAGACTGTCAAATGATACAATCACTGTGGAAAGTAATATGGCGATTCCTTAAAAAGTTGAAATTAGCAATACCATTTGACCCAGCCATTCCATTACTGGCTATATATCCTAAAGAAGTGAGAGC